GTTAGTAGTACTGTGTGCAAATGTGTGAAACTAATCAATAGGTTGGCAATTTATCACATACATGTACAAATACTGAACTACCATACAATGAAATACTTGCTTCAGCTAATTTGTCAACTTTTTTTTAGTTCATCAATTATAACCAACGATACAATATACCGACATGAAATGGATAAAAAAAAGTTAAATATACATCTAAAACGTTGAATAGGAATAGTTTCAAGCAGAACTGTCGCTAAGATATATCTAGTATATATATCAGTAAATAACATTGTTTGAATCTGATTTGTATTATTGTATTTTCAGACTTATAAATAGCGCAGATGATACATTACTTTGCGAATTGTTTGAAATAGCGAGCTATCAAATTGAGTGCTTTATCTAGCGACTCAGTTTATCCATTATTTGTTCGATGATACGATGAACTCTTTTTAGTCAAGTCTGAACTTTCAAGGCTTTTAGATTTCAAGTTAAATATTGTTTTGCTTTCTAATAGACCTTTAGAAAAACGCCTACTACGTACCTTTTGCCATGTGCCATTTGGCAACCCTAACATGGACTCTAATGGATCGTAAGTGGCCTAGTGCAGTATTTGAACGTGGTTAACACTAGTCAGTATCAAGCGAAAGTTACGACCGTCACCTTCACATTTAAGATGGCGGACGAGAAGTGTCGATTTCGATTTTTTTAGTTTTCATTCAATTAAACTACTTTATATTTGACGTAATGCTTTGATATTTGAACTGAACCAGGCATTTATGACATGGAAACTTTGGAGTATAATCAATATTGTTTATATATTATGCGTAGGCGCCACAATTCAACGATATCTTCCAGCGCTTAAGGGAAGATTACTGGGATTTTGGTTTCATGACTCTTACCGGATGACACATTTCCAGTTACCTTCTCTGAAGCGGTGGAAGATATCGTTGAACTGTGGCGCTCAAGCACGATACGGATCAAATTATCATACTACGGAGTTTCCATGTCATATAAGTCGGATTTAGTTCAAATCTCAAAGCATAACGTCAACTATTAAGTAGTTTAATTCGATGAAAACCAAAAGATTTTGGCTTCGACACTTCCCATCCGCCATATTAAATTTGAAGGTGACGGCCGTAACTTTCGCTTGATACTGACCGGTGGTAAAAGCGCGGCGATAATGGCATTGTTATTGGCCGTATACATTTTAGACCTAACGGCCGTCGAAGCAAATCGTAAGTATCCGAGATGGATTTATATAACATGACCCACTTAAACGTGTCTCTATGAATCGACGCAAAGCAAACCCCTCGGACATCTTGTAATGGATTTGAAATGTAAGAAATGTGCATCTTACCTTTTTGAATGTGTATTGTTGAACATATCTTGAGACGGAACCACAAAGTAAAAAAAACATTACTCGAAAAGAACATTTCACGTGTTAGCCCTAGAGAGCAATGATTTATAGGGCAACAAAGCGTCGTAAAACATTTAATTCCGTAATGATTATTTCTCATCTGCACACAGGAAATCTTGATTTACAATAACTAATAATAGCCTTCTTCTGCCAAAGAGCAAATAGTTCACGATAAACAACTTATTACTAAGATATATCAGCATTGAGCTGAACAAAGTTATATATTTAATTTAAATTCATTTTTGAGAAAATTCATAGTATCTCGCAAATATAGAATGTACAAACTAATTTTTTAAATTAAGGAGATGTGAATGGATATGCTCACATTTCAAACATAAAAATAGCTTTTAAGTGATAAATTAAGTGATAGGTCATTGGCCTTTAATGATGAGACTTCTATAGTGTAACCCTGTATCCTGAAATACATGTACCGATGCCAAATACTATGTCAGTATCATTTCTCTGTCAATCAGTTTATGATATAGAAAAAACACATGTTACAAGCGGAGATAACAAGTCTAATCTCTCAGATAGTGCTTCATTGTCATAATAACCCAGATGCGAGTAGAAATAATCTTGATTTACGTCATTAAAAATTCAAAATTCAGTCAAAGTAATATCATATTTGAAATCTACATGTAAAATTACATCTAGAAATGTGGTTTTAAAAAGTGTTTATCAACTTTGAAAAATTAATTTTCTTTGAAAATGTGACTTCTAGCTCGGGGAGATTCCCCATAGACCCCATGCTATAAAATCACAAAAAATGAAATATCTTTTCTTTTAGTGGACAGATAATATTTTGCTTTACTGGACATATTTTCATTAGTATAAGTAGTAGACGCATAAGGGTTATATGAATTGAGCCACTTAAATTGATAATATTCAAGTTTAAGGGAACTTTCTTATATACCTGCCATGTTAATTGACCCGAATCAGCCACCTGGTGGTGAAACTGGTAACTACCTACTCGCATTTGGGTAATTGACGGTGTTTACGATCTTGTACGTAATAAAAAGAAGATAGCACAACCTTATAGTGAAAGGCCTATTAGTTAACGTTAATCTGAAATCCAGACTTCTGTACTGTAATTTCACATTAAGATGTTATATTAGCTTATTTATATTACATTTGTATATTGTGTCAATTTATAAGTTTGCGTTTTAAAATCACATTCGAAAATATAAACATTTCTGTTTGTTTGTTGTATAGCCGTAAATTTTTTGTTGTACGTTTTGCATATTTGGAAATGTATCAAATATTCAACATATTAATAATACCCTCTTTTACTTTAATTGGTACTATGCAATGCCATTCTACGAATTATAGGCTAAGAATTCTAACTTATTTTAAAACATAACACACAAATGAGGAATCAGAAGATATCCAAGAACAGGCCCTTCATAACTATCAACACAATTCTCCCGAATCATTAAACATGATCTAAGAACGACAGATAGAATGACTTCATCTTTGTTTCATGGAGTTTATTAGTCTATTTGAGATGTGATGGACATTCTAAGAATGTTAGGTCTAGACTCCGATGAAGAAAAGGTCCAGAGGACCTAACGTGGAAGCATTATACATGAATTAAATATATCAATTCGGATATCATTACCTACAAGTATACTATATATACGTTGATAAAACGATGAACAAAAAAGGATGATCAAATTTGCGATATTACATAATGTTACCAAAAATAAGTATAAATACTAATTGAACAACTAACATGATTAAACCATATCTATTAACTATCCAGCAATGATGTAATAAGTGCATATGTAGTTATATAATTAAAAATAACCGCCAAAGGGAGTATATAATTTAAGAAAATGAGGTAGACATATGACCACTTAGAATGGAATAACATATCAAAAACTCCCCAGATCAGAAATTTCCACGAGATCAATCTCGTGTATCCTATAGAATCGGTAATGATTACCATGACAAATATATCTCCTAATGAATCGAGTCACATTTGATCTACGGCTTGCCGTATGGCGGCCAAAGCTTCCCAAAATCGAGAGAAATGTACAGCATAATATATAGGGATAAGCCGTACGATGTAGATTTTCTATATCGATTTTGTGAACCTACGGCCGCCGTACGACCGCCGTAGAGCACATGTGACCAAAACTTAACTCTAGGGACGAAATAGTTTCTAAATGTTAGCGTTGTGATTGTTAGGGTAGCATTAGGTGTACACGAAATTATTCAAAATTAACTCTATCATGTAATAATAAAACTGAGAAAGTGTACAGAATATAATCATCCTAAGTATGTTAAAATCATTAAAGCTTCTGTTACAGATTTTTTGCTCGATATTATTAGGATGTCGACGCCATATTGTTAACATTATGATGCCATATCTACCAGATTTATAAGTTGTGACTCAACATGTATATAAACAATTGCAATTAACTCCCTATCACGGTCAGTTGGCAGGTATCTTGGAAATATAGTATACAAATAAAAAGAACAAAATCAAAAAAGCACCGTGGCTAATACGAAAGACAACGAGAAACAATAACGTGCATTTATTGTTTGTAAGACAAGACAAAATGTCAAATTAGTGTATTTGTTTCAATACTTCTTGGACACCCTGTAAAGCTCACTATAATGCACTTTTAATTGCACAATTGGTAAAGTAGTGAAGGGCAGAATTTAATGATTAAATGATAATAACTTTCACGTTGTATATATTTCTAAGATATTCAAGAGCACTTACATTTTGTTGCCATTTAACAATAATTTGGGTAAATACAAAAAGATAGAACTAAATCAAGGTGTAACTTGGGCACGTATCAAAGCACTGTTAGAAGAAAAAATTGTCGCTCGAGGTACTTAACTATGTTATTTTATTTAGCGGTGATCACATCTGAAAAAGTACCCTGGGACGAGGTTCTGGTTTACAGATTTAACACGAGGCATCTAATCGATAGTGAAAAATACAAATCAATTGGTTATATTTTCATAAGATGAGTTCTTCTGCTTCGTGGAAATTGAGATAGAATTGATTCTAAGACTGGATAAACAATTGTTTTAATTTCACAGTAAATATAGTTCATTCCCTCGGGTGATACAAAGTAAATTGCGAAGCATCAACTACTGAAGTTCAAATTGAACAAAATCTACCTTAACATGCATGTAAATGCAATACTACTGTAAATGCAATAATGATGAATAGATCTCGAAAACTTTGAAATTCCAATTAATCTATATTTATATGCCGGTATTTTATTGTTTTATAGAGCATACACATAGTTGATGCTCTATAAAATTCATTTAACGTGCATATTAAAGAAAGGTTAATGAACGTTTAACATATACACTTTTAATGATTTTCGGATGTCACTCAAAGGTATAGAACACAACTCTGTAATTCTTCCAAATGAGCAGTGTGAACTGGAAAAGAGCATGAAGTTCAAAATGATCGTGTGTCAGAAGAACCTTTGGCAGAATTTATAACAAGGTACAAGTACGAGTAACAATAACTTAGCCATAATACATGAATCAAAAACATCAACTACGTAAATACTATCTAGATATTATTTTAACAATTAGCTTATATTTATCAACACATAAAATACGTACTTGCCTGATTTGATGACGCTTAACTGCACATATCTCTATTCTTATAACTCGTACTAGTATCGGTTGTTTTATGCATTTGATTTTATCATGATAATCATAATGAAATCATCTTCATGTATTCCAGTAATCAAACACGTTTAATTACTATTAAAGTTTGATTTTCAACAGCTAAGGGCGGTACCTATATCACCGATAAAGTTTGTCCAAATTAGAGTAAGTAAAAGAATACATGGAAGTCTATTTTGTAGATTTAGTCTATATAAATTTGAAATATAGTCGCAGATCAAAAATTTCCACTAGATCAATCTCGTGTATCCTATTTTGGTTGACGTGATACTTTTCGGTTGAACAATCAATATTGATCTATATTTCAGCTGGTCAATCTTAACGTCAACAGTCCCCGTCGATTATTATATCCTTCTGCTCCTTTGAAATATAAAGCTATTGTTATCGCTGCAGTCGAGAATCTCATCTACCTTTTTAGTTGCATCACTGATAATGCCTTTGGGCATGCGCATTGCACATTCCCATTTATCTCCAGGTTAAACACTGTTTACACGCAGTATGTTGAAATAACAATTCATAAAAGATTGATTATTTGCTATAATCGACTAATCTATTTTTAGCAAACTAGAACGACGCAGTTTCTGCCAACTACGATCATAGTTTGCTCGCATATTAACATATGATCGCTCTAAATAAATGACCGTGTAAATACAAACATCATAAATCAAATTGTCATTTGTAACAATCTCCATCCATTTGACTGGCATTGGTCCAATGACAAGGTGTGAATGATCGCGACATCTATTGGGAGCACCTACAACGTCCATCCCAAAGTTGTCAAACAACATTCTTTGCATCGACGAGTCAATTGATATCCAAAAACTTGTCAAAATGATTATTTTGTTATAAAGGGTTCTTACATTAAACAACTGACTATTTCATATTTTGCTTTATTCAAATACTTTATTTTATTATCAAGAGAAATTATGAGAGTATGTTCATCTTTTAGAAGTTGGACCTAAACTGATTTAAACAATAAGCCTGATGGTCTGTCATGGTCAGTGACCATGTCTGACCACTTACAAAAATATTTCGCCTTACGGCAAGGAATATAAATTTGGATATGGTATCTTTTAAATCAAAAATAACATATATTTTAACTTTAACACACTCCCGACGTTTAAATCAAACTTCCACGTTTGATCGGAAATACAAACAATTTTACAGAGTAAAAATCAGATATAAAACTTCATAAAACTACACAAAATATTACTACACACACTCATGCATGATGAATGTTATACAGAAAAGTGTAAAATACATATTTGCTTTAAATTTAGTCTAATATTATTAACATTTTCCTAGTCTATACTTAAAACACACGTGTGTGTAGACATCTTAGTCATGACACATATTATAAAAAGACAAATCAAATACCTCGGTCATTTAGAGTTGAGTTCAAATGGGAGTTTACTAAACGATTCATTAATTATGAGTAAAACATTTGATTTAACAAATAACACATTTACATGGCACAAACAACTCAAAAATATACTGTGCCATATTAAAATAAAAATGTCTGATGAATTGAATCTTGAAGATAGGGTAAACATAGAGATGAGCACAAATAGGCTTGCTATTAAAGTCAAAAAGAAACTAATAGAGAGATATCAAGTATATTGGAAGAATCTGATAAGTGGGAATGGGGGGAAACTTAGATTATTTAAACAACTAAAATCGCACTTTGGATTTGAACACTACCTTTCAGAAACGACACTGTCAAATGCTAAACATTTAACTAGATTACGTATAAGCGCCCACAATCTAGAGATAGAGAGAGGCCGATATACAAAACCAATTACTGATCTTAATAGTCGATTTTGTAAAATATGCAAGGACTCGGTTATAGAAGATGAAGCACACTTTTTATTCAAATGTAAAAAATTGGAGTTTATCAGAAAATCCCATATTGAAAAACTTGAAAACCTGTGTCGTAATTTTAAAAACATGAATGACCACCAAAAGACAATTTTTCTATTGACGAGTGAGGGGATCATATTAAAAGAATCTGCTGACATGATAAAGTATCTAATGATGGGTAGAGACAGGATTCTTATATCAAAGTAACATTTTATATGTCATTTGAAGAATGTAATCCTATTTTCTTTACTTTATTGCCTATATTTACTGTTATTGAAAATTGTATATTGGATGTACGTTTGGCCCTAAAAGGGCATCAGTACTAATAAAATCCTATTATTATTATGACACTTTAAAATTCATACACTCCCCTCCATAAGTTTGGCAACCTTTTTTCCCCCATTGAACTACGTGTTAAAGCCTCTTTACCTTTGAATTTTTATTTACTTAACCTGCGATGAAAATACTTATACTATTGATGGAAACGTAATTTTACTTTAATTCCAATACCTCCAAATTTTCTCAATTTTTTTCCTCAATTACAATAGGTCGAAAATTGATGATAAATTTGATGAATTTTTGAAAATCGACATTCTCATTTCCAGTTCCAGTTCAAGTTCAGTTCAATGGGGAAAAAAGGTTGCCAAACTTATGGAGGGGAGTGAATCAACTTAAGATCATTTTCTTAACAATCTTCTTAACAGTTCTTAACAATAATGTAGTCAATTGTTTATACTTAAATAAAACAATACCTATTTTCTTTACATCTAAAAATATCATCTTTTACAATTCCAGTTAAACAATCAACATTTTAATAATCTGACAAACATTTTATATGTTTTAACTATACCACCACATCCATATATTGCAGAACAAAAATATTCGATTTATACAATCGCAATTATGCTCCAGGGGAAGCATGGGCTTAACGTAATCATACAAACAAATATTTTACAATCATATTTTACTAGAGGTTTACATATACAAAAGGTTACATGACAAACATTATCCCTCACCCATATATAAAATATTATGTACATGCATATCGGGTTCTAAAATATAAGCAAAACAAAAACAAAGGTCTACTAGTGCTGGGATAAAGATTTAACAAAATGTGGCAGAAATACACCAAACGATATGTACTACGCGTCTGTACTTATGGTTAACAACTAAACCCGGCTGATTGAGGCAAGAAATAAAAATGCTGCATATTTCAAAATCACATACTCCTGTCTAAATCAAAACCTCACCATTACAGGTAAGCAGTGAAAGCATAACAATTCAAATTAAATTGAATTGCAAATCCTACCTTAAGAATCACGGCAAAAGGCAATGCAATTGCTGATGAATCCTTTTAATTCATCCTCCCATTGTTGAATCATCTTGCTTCTCCTGTCCGTCCATTTTCCTAATATTTCATCATTCTTGGGTTTTAATTTGTCGACATTGCATTTTAGGATCGCTTTTTCTCCGTTGTATAGCTACATGTAACATTCATTTTCTTAGCCGTGTAGTCTCTCTCTAGATTCTTCCGGACATACATATCCTAATCTTTGGTAATACATAAGGGTTATGTACTGGGAGGTTTTGGATATGGGGTTTATCCAGAGGGAGATATGCATATCTACCTGAGGGACCGTAGGGACCGAAGGTAGATGAGCATATCTCACGAGGGATGAACCCAATATCCAAACCGACCGTACATAACTGCTTTATCCTATACCAAGTAGAGTTTTCAGGGGCATATGGCCATTTCAATAGTACAAGGTGTAAAAATAAACAAATCATTCATATACAAAGTCATTTTATTGCATTACCGGAAGCGGGAAGATATGCACCGAAGCGGGAGATATGGCGGGAGATATGGAGGTTCTGGATATCGAAACCTCAAAATCAGGATACGGGATATATCTTACCAACTTATCTCCCTAAAACTTTACTTGGCATAGGATAAGGGTTATTATCTCGCCTGTTATACCTATCCCTTCCGTGCGCTGTGCGAGAATCAACGTCATCGTCATCATCTGTAAAACGTTACCATATGGGATGCCGTGCACCGCGTCATGGGGCATTAACCTGTTATCGTCTATCTTCTTGTGGTAGTTGAGCTCATTAGTACTATACCAAGGTGCCTTGGTGACCATCTCATCCATTTATCTTCAATCAATGTCTACAACGTTCTGTTTCTAAATCTACAATGTTCCATAAATTCTGCCAAGAGGTCGTAAGATCTTGGCTGCTCCACCATGTTATAAAGGTTTTTTTACTTCCTTTAACTTAAACATTTCATATTTTGCTTTATTCAAATACTTTATTTTATTATCAAGAGAAATTATGAGAGTATGTTCATCTTTTAGAAGTTGGGCCTAAACTGATTTAAACATAAGCCTGATGGTCTGTCATGGTCAGTGACCATGTCTGACCACTTACAAAAATAATTCGCCTTACGGAAAGGAATGTAAATTGGGAGATGGTATCTTTTAAATCAAAAATAACATAAATTTTAACTATACCACAATAGTTTGACTTTCGATTTTTGAAATACATACTCGATTTAAACATGAATGTATGATGTTTATATCATCTTTAGCAGGTTTGTGTACTGAAAACAATTTATGAATTTATGAATGAACAAGCATCGTATTTTAGGACATTTCACCGACCTGTTTTACAATTTTGGAGAGTGGTGCACGTTTTCATATATGCAAAGCATGTACAAGCATCAAAGGGAAAGGATAAAAAATTATGACAATACACAGCAAGGAAAATAAATCTGAAAGCTATACAAATCAAACTAGAAAAACACAACTCCACGGAGTAGCAAATCCCACCGAACAAAACATGTTTTGATAAATAGCGGCCATATAAAATTTGAGCCAAATCCATCCACTGCTATTTGAATTACCAAAGATTATGTTTTTATGAAACATGGTTGCCATTTTGAAATTCAGCCGTCATCTTTAGATTTCTTCTTTCCTATGTCCCAAGGCATCAGCATATACGATTTAATCCAAATCCTTCAACTAGTACTTGAGTTACCAACTGAAGGATTACATGTTTATTGAAAAATGGTGGAGATTTCGATAAATAGCAGCCACCTTGAACATATCTTCTCAAGCAGAACTCCTTTATCTCTAGGCATCAGTATATAAAATTTGAAGTAAATCCGTCTAATGGTATTTGAGTTATCAAATATTACCTTTTTTATGAAAAATGGCAGCCATTTTGCAATTCAGCTGATGCCTTTGAAATTTCTTCTGAAGCAGATCTCCTTTTTCCCTAAACATCAGCATATAAAATTGGAACCAAATCCATCCAGTGGTATTTGAGTTATCAATGATTACGTTTTTACGAATAATGGCGGCCATTTTGAAATTCAGTGGCCATCTTGAAAATGTCTTCTTGAGCAGAACCTCTTTGTATCTAGGCATCAGCATATAGAATTTGAATCAAATCAATCAACTGGTATTTTAGTTATCAAAAGTTACCGTCTTTTATGAAAAATGGCGGCCATTTTGAAATTTAGCTGCCATCTTGAAAATCCTTTCTCGAGCAGAGCTTCTATGTCC